ACTTCAGGTGGAAGATGTGCAACTACGCAGCTATACTTGGTTTGTTGTGATTTAACGCGACGGCACTCAACAATTGCCTCTACCTGAGCAAACTACAGTCTAGGATGATGAATACCGTAAGCTGGTAGTCTTAAACTCAAAAAATCTTGCAAGTCCATAGGGGAATCGTTTGAATCAGATATGATAGTAATGTGAAAAAATGAATACGGGAGTTCTAGGTGATACAAGGATGAGAAAAATTTCGGGCTCACCAATTATATAGTGGAAAACCCTAGCAAATACCAGTTCAAAGTAGCTGAATCGAGTGAGTAAAAATAGGCGAGATTATACGACTCACAGTTCGCCAGGGCAGTATTACCACCACAATAAATCCAAATTGACATCCTTCCTGGGATCTTCCTTAATATGTTCCTAAATACTTTCCATCCCGTCGTAGTCTGAAAGGTAGATCACCGCTCGTTACTTCACTGACAGCGTAACTCGACACAGCAAAACGGGAACACGCCTTTCACGAGGTACAGAATTTGTATTGTGTCATATTTTTTGCTTTCATTTAAACACAATATTCGGTATGAGGAGAAGAGGAATAAGCTGAGAATTTCGGGAGAGATAGAAGGTGGTGCAATTTGAGTAATGATAAGTTAAAAGATAAGCACTAATGCACGATTGTCAGAAGGATCGCGATACTACTTTAAACTAGTTCTACTACGCCATTATCGAGTGCGTTATGGTGCCCCTGATGGCGCAGTCCATGTCACAGATGACCTACAAAATGTATTTCGACGTATGTCCCTTGTGTACCGTTGACGTCGTCAACTCCTCTTGTGAAGTTCAGAAAGCATATCCATTCCTTTTACTTGTCACTTCCATGTGCTTTTCCAAGCAAGTATTCCTTACTAGATAACGAGCCAGTGTGCGTCAAATAGCTTGGAAACACGGGGCAGGGGCTCCGTTCTAGTTGGAAACCGTCGGCAACGAGAACCGGCCGAATCCTCAGAAGGATTTCTGCCACCACCTTGAGGCTGGAGGCAGAAGGATCAACCTGTCCGCTGCAATCTGCTAATCAACCTTGGAGGTTGCTCTCAAGAAGACCAGGTATAGTGTAACGCTCGCAATTTTCGCAAAATTCACTTGACGTTTTCACGCCCGTCCCGCGAGATTTCCCAGCTGGAACATGCGGGTGACTTGATAATTGTTCGCCCAACTGCTCTAGTTAGAATCTGTGGACAGATCAAGGACGAAGAACAAGTTCTCGCAAGCTACGACATCTTCAAAAAGGACGCCCGAAAAATCACCAGGATGCGAAGAATACTACTCGAATTGTGAGATTTGAACAAACAGAACATAGGACGCAGTCTCGCCAGAGTGCAGGAAATTCAATCAGCTGTAAACGCATAATTATACAGGTCTTACTAGTGTGTATTTCGGCATATTTTAGGTCACATTTCATCAGTTTGTTCCATATTAATGGGTAGTGATGTTTGCGTCTTTGGCGTGCCTATTTTCAGATCCTTCCTAAGAAGGTGTAATTTTGGCGCTCAGTGTCCCCTATTGCTCACAAACATGGTGGCTGTATGCATCCCTCAGATGCCTACTAAGATTCCATTGCTGGCAGAATGATGCCCCACACGTTTCACATTGTCGACGCGTTCTCTAACTGTGTACCGATCGCCGGTGTTGAAGGAGTTTCTCGCAACATGATAAGCACTTTCCGCATTCAGGACATGGATATCCTATTGCCTCGGATTCCCACACTGGATGTCTTGATATTCTGACAGGCATATTAACTCCACCGGAGTGAATTTGCTTCCTTGATTGCAAGCAATCTGCTAATCAACCTTGGAGGTTGCTCTCAAGAAGACCAGGTATAGTGTAACGCTCGCAATTTTCGCAAAATTCACCGTTTTCACGCAATCAACCTTGGAGGTTGCTCTCAAGAAGACCAGGTATAGTGTAACGCTCGCAATTTTCGCAAAATTCACTTGACGTTTTCACGCCCGTCCCGCGAGATTTCCCAGCTGGAACATGCGGGTGACTTGATAATTGTTCGCCCAACTGCTCTAGTTAGAATCTGTGGACAGATCAAGGACGAAGAACAAGTTCTCGCAAGCTACGACATCTTCAAAAAGGACGCCCGAAAAATCACCAGGATGCGAAGAATACTACTCGAATTGTGAGATTTGAACAAACAGAACATAGGACGCAGTCTCGCCAGAGTGCAGGAAATTCAATCAGCTGTAAACGCATAATTATACAGGTCTTACTAGTGTGTATTTCGGCATATTTTAGGTCACATTTCATCAGTTTGTTCCATATTAATGGGTAGTGATGTTTGCGTCTTTGGCGTGCCTATTTTCAGATCCTTCCTAAGAAGATGTAATTTTGGCGCTCAGTGTCCCCTATTGCTCACAAACATGGTGGCTGTATGCATCCCTCAGATGCCTACTAAGATTCCATTGCTGGCAGAATGATGCCCCACACGTTTCACATTGTCGACGCGTTCTCTAACTGTGTGCCGATCGCCGGTGTTGAAGGAGTTTCTCGCAACATGATAAGCACTTTCCGCATTCAGGACATGGATATCCTATTGCCTCGGATTCTCGCACTGACTGTCTTGATTTTCCAAGAGGCATATTTACTCCACCGGAGTGAATTTACTTCATTTGTCGTTTGAGTCCTCCCTCACCATCAAGCGATTGTTCGGTCAGATTAAAGCAGATGTCAGCAGTTCTGTCGATCTTATCGTTGTGTCTCTTATTCAATGACAGGTATGGCTATGGTTCGCGGCATGGTACAATATTGAGAGGTCCTTCCTGATATGTTTATCTGGTTTGGTCGTCCGTTCAATCACCGTTAGAACAGTCATCCTTGGCTCTGTTTTCTGACTGTCTATTGTGTAAATCCGCTCATTGATTATAAGGGTGGAGGAAAAGATATCAGTTGCAATATTTTTCCTCAACAGGCATGTACTGACTTTGATAGCAACAGACATGAAAGCGATGAATCGACATTGCAATTGTATGAAGAGGCTTAACAATTTTCATCGGGCATTTGTGAACGTGCCCTACACTGGGTAATCAGCAAATACACGGCATATCATGGAAACCATCAATCACTTACGGCGTTGAAATGACGCGAACTTTTTTTCACTAGCCATTCGAGTGGCGAATTCCCACCTCAAAAGTACACGTGATTTATGAGTTATTCTCCTCCCCTAACAAATTACATGCTACTCATAACACGAGGGGAGCTGGACTTATCCGCAAGGCCTGCGTTCTGTAGGTCAGTTGAAGAGTCTGGTACAACAAACAAGTGAATGTATCTAACTTCATCAGGAGTGATTGATGTAGAAAATTATTTATTGCAAAACCGTGCCAGTTGTGCCTACCTCCGATTATGATTTTAACTTGGTGGGTGTTCGTGCGTGTTAGTGTTTGGAGGGGGTCAATCGGATTATTGAATATTCAGTAGTATTCTCGTTTTTGTGCCTTCAGACAACCACGTGCGTTCTGCAACGAGGCATTTATTGTGTGGGCACAAACAGTTTTTATTGGCTTGGTTCGGGAGCTTTAGAGTGGCACTCACCGTCGTCCGACGTTGGAAAACCTTGCACAAATAAGGGTTGTCTGTCGTCATCATGGAGATCTTAATATTGCTAATGGACTAAGGCGCAGCATCCGCGACGGAAAGTTTATGCATGAAACGAAATTCCTCCAAGCGGTTGCCCGATCATAGATGTGTCCGCTATGTACCGGGTATTACGTGGACTCCCCATAATGTCAGCGGTAAACAGGTTTATCGTTCCTAACGCGTTTATCCAAATCGGAGCTGAAGATGGCGCTAGACGAATGCACTCATTGCTTGGGTGGGTCGGCAGAATTGAATCTAATAACACGCACGAAGGCGTCTGATAGTGATGCTCAGATGCCCGAAAACAGAACTATGCTGGAAAACAAATTCATGACTTCAGTTCACTCACCGGAGTGAAATCTGCGGACTTTGTGCTTCTGATGGCGTTTACATATTCGAATGTCCCACGAGTTTTGCCCGAATCCCAGGGTGCATCACGCTGAAGCAATCAGAGGTCTTTGAAGAATTATGCTGAATCAAACCGCCGGTTTTACAGTAGCAGGCAGCATAAACACCTGGTTTGTGTGACCCGATTACTAGCTGTTTTCTTGATTTCTCTGATGCAATCATGACAGTAGTTACAACGAAGGCCTGGATTTGAAGATTTGCAAGTGTTCCATCTACTTTTGGTGCATTTTAATTGACCCTGCCGACCGACGTTTTCTTGATTTGTCTAATGCAATCCTCACGGTGGTTACATTGAAGGCCCGAATTTGCAAATTTGCAAGTGCTCCATCTAATTTTGGCCCATTTCAATTGACCCATGTGGAAAAGGAAGTCATTTACGCGGTTTACAAATTTGCGTATAAAAGTTGTATCCAGAACCACCGCCTTCGGCATGTCAGACGTGGTGATGCCTCATGTGCCATGGAGGGGTCTTCACAGCTGGACGATCATTTATATATATATATATATATATATATTATCAGGAGGTCAATGAGCATGATTATTATTATTATTATTATTATTATTATTATGATTATGATGATGATGATGTGGAAGGCGCGCACATAGCTAGTTGACTTGATGATGAAGTTGAATATGCTTTGAGCGATGGTGTGGAAGGCGCGCACACAGCTAGGTGAATTGATGATCAATTTCAATATGGTTTAACCGATTGTTTGGGTACTGACTGTGGTGATTTCTAGAGACAAGCACACATTTGGGACGATAATTCGTGACTGAACAATACGCAAGAGTGAAAGCCGTAAACAGGCATTATGTTTTCTAGATGATGGCATAAAATGCAGCAGAAACGGCGAATGATCAATCCGGTTGCGTTACCTCCCAAAAACTAGCACCGGAGTGCAAACATCTGGCGGGATAGACTACAGCACCTCGTTTTTTCCTGGGAGTTATAACTCAGATTTTCTGTGAGGATTTATCTTATTTTCTGTGGGGTGTGGGTCTACACGTTCGCATTTATATCTTCAGAATAAAGAAGCGAATTAGCAGACAAGAGAAACAGCCTGCTTAGGCGCGCTGTAGCTCGCCAAGCATTAAAGACTGCATGATTAATTTAGCGAGCAGCGACGGACGCAGTCTTTAGTGAAGCACGTTCTCCTNCAGCTTGCTAGGTCAGGCTGCAAGAGATGCAGTCTTTAGTGAAGCACATTCTCCTTCATAAAAACTTGTCTCATGAAACATCTTTTCCCGATATCAACGACAATCTCTCGCATCAGCCTAAAATACAGCGTGACCTCCGTGTCCTTGGAGGCCAACCAATATGCCTAATCTGTGACCTTGGCAAGTAGAAAGCCTGTTTCAAATAGACATAAAATGCTCCAATAAACGAAACACTTTCAAGTCAGATTGCTGAAAGTAACCTCAAAAAGCCCGGAACCTACTGCTCCACCAAAATCTGAACAGGGAAAGCGGCACGCATCCAGGCCTCTCAATTCAGCAAAAGCCTATGAGTGTTCCTGCACGCCACAGAAGCACGACCGAATGAGATAAGCGTTTAGGCGATTTCATAGAGGCGCGATCGATGCTGACGGATATTCACTAATCCACATCAGACAGCCTGGATCCATGTCAAAAATTCCCCTTTAAATAGCGCGGGTTCGTTGTAACTTTTGCTCTCGCACTCGCTTGCATTCGTTTGTTCGGAATATAGTTCTTGTGTTCTCCTCTGTGAGTCTTTTTTCAGGAATTGGGAATTGGAGCACGTCAGCAGCAGATACCACAGATTCTCGAATCAGCAGATATAACACGTTTGTACCCAAAGTTGACTGTAGATAAGTATTCTGCTTGTGAAACGGGTAACACGAACAGTCAGTTCGTTGTCGGTCAGTATCCTCAAGCTGAGGCACATTCCCTTGGATTCGACGAAAAAGGGTTCGATGTTCTAATAACCAACCACTAAATGTCAGCAAAAATGTGACACATCAAATATTTTCACATTAACACGCAACCCGGTAATGGCCCTTAAGATGCCGCTAACAACTCCAGCATCAGAGTAACAAACAAGGGGGGAAACTTGAAATTGCACGCACTCGCTACAAAACTCAGCGCACTTTGTTGAAAGCCAAGGAAACCACACACATTCTAATAGCACTGTTCATATTGTATGACTGCCTGATAGATACGGTAGCACTCACAATGATTTTGGGCCATCTCAAAATTCCCTATACATATCATCGTCAAAGGTAGTTTGATGGGTCTCATCAGAAGACAAGTTCGCTGTGCGTCTGGTTCGACCAGCCGTTGCTCCCTGTTAAATATGCTTGTTTCTAATAATCTCGCGGTGTGTGGCATTGCACTTGGAGTTTGTGGATCACGTTTGAAAATAATATCGGTTCTGTTGGATGAAAATCGAACCGTCTCATTATCTGGTCATCTTTAAAGTCTAATGCGTCTTTGATTTCGATTTTTTTATAATTTACCGCCCAAGTAATAGGTGGAACAAATAAGTTAGTGATCCGATTACCTTTTCCGAAGCCGATGCCCATTTTCAAGGAGGTTCATGAACAGAAGTCTGTGTGGATTGTGTTTTCAACCCGCATCACATCTCATAGGGAGCTGGCTTGGGTCAAAGTATGGAACAACGTAGCAATAATCCACTACCCCACTGCGCTGTTGACACGTACGTGATATGTTCTTTTGTGTCGTCTCAACTGACGAACAAAATCCTGCAAGTCAATCTGCATAATGAACTTTCCCGTGGTTTTCCTGTATTTGACAGCTTTTTTTGCAATATGAGGGGCAGGACATAACCGATTCTGCCGAGCTGGAGGGACACCACAGTTGGACGCATATTGACCACAAATATCGCCTTACTATAGGCGCTCCTCCTACTCAGTATGGTAAGAAATTCTCTTATCGCAGGTTTGCCTGAACTTGATGAATAATCCGGAAATCTCGTATATATACTGGTGACATTAGAGCACAACGTGAGTAGGAACCTTTAATTCATCAGTGTCGGCTTCATAATTTTCGAGCGTGTGCACGGTAGTGAGACAATGCACATGGACATGAGGATGAAAGGCCGCTTGTGGCCATTGGGTTGGGCTGCGGTGCATAACCAAGGCCTCATGATTAGCGGCGCTCATGGATGATGGTCTGGCATCTACTATTAACAGCCAAGATAAGCGACAGTGCCTACGGTTTTCATGATGGGAGACCACCATTGACTATGTTTTCCGGTAATTTCTGTGTTCTTGCTGACGTCATGTTTCTTTTTGGGAAAGGCATGTTACGTGAATATCCTGGACGCTGAGAGAGCTTTCCATACAGAAATAACGTATCGAGGTTCCCGCAAACAATTGATCTAAACAATTAATCTGACTAGAAGTTTACTTGTGTAAAAGATACTTCCGATCCTACGTATACATAGAAATCGGCGGTCATTGGTAACCCAGATTGAAACGTTCCGTCGAATGACTTCGCAAATGCCATAGTGTAAGCAAACTCGGATTCGGTTTGTTTCTAGTGAAAACATACGCGTGATTGTTTGCTATAAATTACTCAGATGCTGAGGGCGTGCTCAACATCCCACCTGAGATTCCACTCCCACAATCGTACAACGTATGTAGGTATGGTGAGCCACACACTGCAGAATATCCATAGACACGCGTGTTCGACTCTACTCCCTTCAGCAAAAAGTCTAGTTACCAGCTGCACATTGACACACAGTCGATAGGCACAACCTCTTTGCTTCTGACTAATGATCAATAATCCGTCATCGACTAGGAGTACGCACGATGACTTGAGTAGAATAAGAAAAACTTTATAAGCAGGCTCACGCGGCACTATTTAAAATTACCATAAGACGAAGTAGGAATGTCTCAATCAAAAGAGTTTAAAAAACGAGTGGTTGGTTTTGCGATGTGGACTTCCATCAAATATTGTTTTCAGCAGCAGAAGCTACAGTGGTTAAGCCAAGCTTTAAGCCTCCTGAATAGAGTGCTATTTCCCACGACCAAATCAGAGTAGCCGTGTCGGAGGGGTGACCAACTTTAGACATGACAGACAAGGACACAAAAATCTTAGGGCTCCTGGTACGATTCACGATCCAGGATGGTAACCGCGTGATCCACCCAGCGCCGCGTTGGAAACGCTGCAAGATATGGTTGATAATCAATGTAAATTTCGTTTATGTTGTCAGTTTCTCTGCGGATTGTCTCAATAGGAGTCGATAGATGCAGGAACTTCAAAATAATTGATGTAGGACATCACTAAGTCACTTTCCCATCCATTTTTTATCTTCACAATAAGACATTTGAATGAATTATAGTTCTAAGACAGCTAGTTATCAGTG